TCTCTGTCTCTCTGTCTCTCTCTCTCTCTCTCTGTCTCTCTGTCTCTCTCTCTCTCTCTCTGTCTCTCTCTCTCTTCGTTCTCTTGCGTTATTTCTCTCTCTTCATTCATTCCCTTTATTTCTCTTTTGTGCTCTCACTTTATTTCTCTCCTCCCCTTTCTCTTTCTTCGTTCTCTCGCTTTATTTCTCTCTCTCTCTCTCTTCCTCTCTCTCTCTCCGTGTCTTTCTCCATTCTCTCTATTTATTCTTCTCTTTCTCTCGTTCTCCACTCATCTGTCCTCCTCTCCACTCATCTGTCTGTCCTACTCTCTACTCTTATGTCTTCCTCTCTACTCGTCTGTCTGTCCTCCACTCTACTCATCTGCCCGTCCTCCACTCATCTGTCTGTCCTACACTTCACTCATCTGTCTTTTCTCAGACATGGCTCATTGCTCATAGCTTAGCAACCACCTGGGATACAATAGCAATGGCATAGCAACACCTTAGCAACCACCTGGGATACCATGGCAATGCATCTTCATCTCAGACCAGCCTGAAGTAAAAGAGCCTCTCTCTCTGTCTCCCTTTCCCTCCTTCTCTTTCTTTCTCTCTCACTCTCTTTCTCTCTCTCTCTCTCTCTCTCTCTCTCTGTCTCTCTCTTTATGTCTCTCTCTCTCTCTCTCTCTCTCTCTCTCTCTCTCTCTCTCTCTCTCTCTCTCTCTCTTTCTTTCTTTGCAGTGTTTAAAGATGTCTCTGCAGGTTTCCATGGTTTTCTTCATTTCAGTCCTCTGCTCTTGACCTTTGACCCAGACTGACCCTAAACCTTTCACACAGCTGGGGGATCGCACAGAGTGATCGACTACACACAGAGTACTGAGAGAGTGTGTGCGTGTGTGTGTGTGTGCGCGTGTGTGTGTGTGTGTGTGTGTGTGTGTGTATCCTTTAATAGCCCCCTCTTTATTGTCAGCTCTGACACACACTCTTTACACTTGAGGCAAACCAATTTCCATCTCATCGCCGTGGCGATGGGGCAGGTGTAAGGGGCGGGGCTGACAGATGATTGGCGGTTTGATTGACGGCTTTGCAAATGTCAGCTTGGATTTTAGAAAAAGCCCTCGTGTAAATGTCACACTGTCATTAAAGAGGAGAACAAGAGCTACATAAACACACACACACGTATAATCACACACACACACACACACACACACACACACACACACGTATAATCACACACACACACACACACACACACACACACACACACGTATAATCACACACACACACACACACACACATGTATAAACACACACACACAAATACACATATATAAACATAAACACACATATAAACATACATATACAGAAACAAATACACACCCAAACACATACACACACAAATACATATATTTAAACAAACGTAAACATACAAACACACACACATACATAAACACACAAACACACACAAATACATATATGTCAACAAACATAAATACACATGTACATATAAATACACACACACACAAACATACACACATACATACATGCATACACACAAATACACATACAAACATGTAAATACACACACATGCACACACACATACACACACACAAATACATATATTTAAACAAACACAAATACACACAAATGTATATCGCTGCTGTCGGAACATAGCACTGTGTCTCCATTTTTGCCGTTTTTCAGTTTTTGCCATAAAGTGAAAATGCCTGTCACCCTTTACATTGTATGTAAATTTCATGATGAATGTATGAAAAAAAAAACTAAACATGACCTGTAAAAATGTCTGGTTCCATTGACTTACATTAAAGTACAATGTGTTTTTTCCTTCTCCTGTAAATGTACCATTTTGGAGATACGAGGTTTTGTTCTGACAACAGCGACATAAACACACACACAACTCATAACAGGGTTGTCGGTGGGTCTCAGGAGGGACAATGAAACACAGTGGTGCTGTGGGAAATGGGCCTTCAGGATCCGGAGGAAGCTTTTGTGAATCTGGATCCAGTTCAGGATCTGATTGAGGATCAAGATGTTTTTCTCACAGCTAATTTAGTTTGTAGAGATGAGTCATCTCTTTCACCACGGACAGGAGGGTGTGTGTGTGTGTGTGTGTGAGAGAGAGAGTGTGTGTGTGTGTGTTTGTGTGTGGTTAAAGTTCATTTGAGCTGCAGCTGGACATGCAATCAGGGACCGTTTGATGGTTACGCGAATTTATTAAAGATTAAAAAGGGAGATATAAATCACCCCGCGCTGCTTAACAAGGCCACTTCCTGGCAGTATATCACTTCACACACACACACATACACACACACACAGCCGGCATGACCCCAGGGACAGACATGCTGAAAGTGGGCACAGCTGGCCGTCGCCGTGGTGACCAGCCTCTCTCCGGTTTTAGCCGAGTTTCCCAGACGAAACTTATAAAACACACACTCACACACACTCGCTGCAGACACCAACACACACCCTGCTGACCAGCTGCTGAAGGCAAGAGTGACCCCAATTACTGCTGACATGTGTCACAGCATGTGTGTGTGTGTGAGACAGTCAGTGTGCGGAGGGTGTGGCAGGACCCTTCTTTAGCTTGTGTTTGGGTTTTGTAAATAACTGTCTGGATACTTTTGAACATCCCTGATTTAACATTATGAAGTATTGATTAGACGAAGCAGGTATTGGATGATAACTCCTAATAATTCTGGGCTTCTGTGAGGAGAGGGCAGGAAATGGTTCAACACTCACACTGACACACACGACATTACTACTGGTTATATTAATGATATCTAATATTAACATTTCTCTGTGTAAATGAATGCTTACGGCCCAGATCCGCAGCTTTTTGAACATTTTTTCGGGTGTCTAAAATGTGGCACGCAGGTCTCCACTTAAATACGGCTGTAATTAAATTAAATCCAATTAAATACGGCTTTTCTGTAAATTTTACTGCACGATTTCTATTTATTTGCTTTGGGTTTAACATATTAGGGGGAAATAAAACCTACAACACAACCCTGCTGGAAAAATCATAGAAACCATTGAAA